TAAAAAAAAAAAGGTATTCTAGTTCGTTTTAAGTTGGAGCTTTGGTTATAAGTTAGTAGTATGATTTAAGTTGGAGTTTTGCTCTTTTTTTTCAATAAATATATATTATATATTGATTAAAAATAAAAACACTTGCAACAAATGCAAATGCCATATCGATTTCCGTTTTCAGATTAGTTTTATGCAAATCGATTATCAGAGTATTACTTCTACTAATCTTTTGTTTGGCTAAATTCGGTACGAGATTAGAATTCTCCATAATCTCCAGAATGTCTCTTTGTTTAATGCTTCGTGATTTTTTAACGCGCTTCTCTGCACGTTGTAGTAAATGGCCCAACAATACTTGCAAAGTGTCACGGGTTAAGTTTAGCCACCACAAATTCTAAGACAAAGACGACAAACAAAATATGTTTTTTTTTTTTTTTTACTACACATCTATTTAACTTTTCCTTTGTCTGATTGAAACGTTAATTAACCTTACATTTTTTTCGGCGTTTAACCTTACAATTGACAACAACAAAAATTACATACAAATAATTCAGTTCCCGCTACGTATTCGTCCAATTTGGCGCGTGTCTGCACCTCTCCCGATCCAAATTATTTTTGAATTTTAATTAGTAATTAAGTATTATTAAGTGAGATTTTTGGGCTAGCAAAATGAAAGAGCGTATTCGTTAGACAAAAACCAATCGTTATCTCAACCACTAAACCACTGAACACTTGCAGACTTTTGAAAAATTAAATTTGTCTTTGATATCTCTACCTAAAACTATACATATTTAATTAAGACTTTATAACCATAAACTTCGTCTTGTTTTATCGTGGGATTAAAATTTACTAAATTATTTTCTTTAAAATATCAAGCTATATATTTAATTGATAGAACTTCTAACAGCTTATTACATGGCCATTCATATTAATTATTAAGACGATTTGTGATCATGATTTGTTCAATTATTGATTATCAATAGCTGTGACCATCGGAGAAATCGAGATTCGACGTTACAAACTATATATGGCTGGTTGTGTCTACACAATTTCATAAATTTTTGTTGATATGTCGTATTCATATTTATGAAAGGGGGTGAACTATAAATTTATATTAATTGATAATTTCAAACAAGTAGTACTATAATATACTCATCAAAACACGCAAACATACACAATAATTGTTCTAATCGAAGAGATAGGGTGTCGAAAAAGGGAGATATCGTGTTTGTAAAGCATCATTAAAGTTAAAACGCTATCGATTACATTGAATAAAAACCATGCTTTGTCGTCCTATGATATATAGAAACAAATATTCGAGTCATGAATAAACACAGTACTTGAGAAAAAAAAAAAAAAAAAAGAATAAACACAGTACTTGAGAAAAAAAGAAAAGAATAAACACAGTACTATAGAAGTAGTAGTCAAGCGAAACAAAGATGCAGCGGCACGTATCATACATGGCAAAGAGCTAGCCACAGCAAAAACCACTGATATTAACAAATGTAAACAACTATATAATCATATATATTTATTTTTATTTAATAAAAAACATATATATTTTTGTCCTGATTTGTTGTTATGTTCTAATTTATATATTCACATAGACCATTTAACTTCTACGATGAAATACTTCATAACACATAGTTTTTATTTAAATTTGGTTGGTATTGATTTTTTTTATAAGTTGAATCTGGTGTAGAAAACTTGCGAATAATTAATAGACAGTTTGACATTTTTCATATCCATATTAATATTATACTCCTCAAAATATATCTTACATGCTAATTACAAGGCAACTGCGCATGCATCAATTTGGATTTTTCGTTATTTTATTTTATTTATATATATTTAACAAAAAATCCTTATAACTAATGCTCTTAGATCTTATGACACATTGATCACTGGTACTTATTTTCTTTCTTTTTTCTTGTTTAGATTTGTTTTTGTTACTTATTAATATTGCTTTGAGCTGCGTGGGGGAATTAAAGTGAAAATGAAAGGAGCAAAATATGTAAACAAATAGTACTAATAGAGAAATAATAAAATTGAGTCATTAGAAACCAAACCCGTTAACTGCGATGACAACAACAGTTTCCGCGTTCCGAGTTTCTTCTGCTTTCTCTTCTTCATTAGTTTAGCTTTTATTCCTTTTCCACTCACATACTTATTTGTCACTCACGCGCCGCGCGTGAATAAAAACAAAGTATTATCACTGCAACAGTGTTTGACTTTCTAGTTCCGGATCTTACGGCCGTCAAGGAAAATCTTGTACGGGTGGGTGTTTTAATTTTATTATCATATCCTAATTCAATCCCAAATGTTCAGATTAACTATGTAAAACAACAAGAAAAATAATGGTAGAAACTAGAGAATGATTTGGGAAAAACTTTTTATTATGTGTTATTGATCTCAATAGAATTGATACACAATATACTATATATAAAAACTAACTTATGTTTAACTTAATTTGAATAGGAAATAGATAAACATCAATAAGTAAATATTCTAAATCTCTTAATCTTTATCACAATAGGATATCTAGAATTTTCTTTGACTTTAGCTTTATAGACTTCACGAGCTCGGTCCGCTCTCTTGTTTCTCAAGTTACCTCAATAATAATATAGCTCCAGAAAAGAGAAGCTAACGGCGAAGGTCATGTGGATTTAGATCCCAGCTGCTGTCAATACATCTTTATTACAAAAATTCTAATCCGCGAGAGATAATAATATTTTATGTTACACCGGCAAACCTTTTTTTGATAGCTCATCACGTTTGATCCATGGATTGGACTAAAATGATATCCAGCATCATCAGAGAAAATTCATGCACCTATTACATATAGCCGATCCAAACAATAATTATATCCTTAATCCCGCAACAACAACAAAATATAAGTTTATATCCGAGAAAAAAAGAATATATTGTATATATTAACGATCATCAATAATTCAACGTAGCTGCAAATTTGAGTGCAGTGTGCAATCACAGTAAAAGTTAAACAACGTTTTCGTATGTATTACAACGTTGGAGTTCAATACTTTTTTACTGTGAAAGAATTGGGATTCTCATTTAGTGTACTGATTAATTATGCTGCAACATGCATATGCATGCCTGTCCCTTGAGCAAAGATATATACTTAATTATTGGATATGTCGTCATCCATGAAATAATAATATCTTTGCAAGTGGTATCCTATGAATTTATAATGCAGACAGAACACTGTGTGATTCAATTTTGGATAGTTTTATTGGATTTTTAGACGACTCGAATTCCTTATTATTGACTCATCAGTGGCAAAATAATTTCATTCACGTTCTAATTATCATGACCACACGTGGTTTCTATATGATACGTTGACATGGAATGAAAAAAACTAAAAAGAAACGAACCCCTAGTGACTATCTTAATTACGAGTTATGACACCAGGCTTATAAACTAACATTTGATTTAATTTACACACTCTAGGTATTTCATTGATTTAACGCACCATATACATAGTTTTTTCAAATAAAGAATCCAAGTAAGCATTAAGATATACTCATATATGGTGTACCTTTCACAATCGACACATTATTAAACTTATCCATATATAACAAGGAGAGGTTCCTAAATATATAGTTTATAGGGTACATTTATTTCGACAGCTTAATTAATTAATATCTATGTTGTTTTGGCTAGCTCTTGCTTTCCTTTTCAGCGCGCGAGACTGCCTTATCTTATCTTATATGAAAGGTCTCGTTTCTTCTTCGCTCTATCTACATATCATATTTTGATCTCCTCATTTCTCTAAAATATACCAAAAGTTTTATCCAACATTCTTCTAGAAACATTATCAAATAAGGAAAAAACAACAACAACATAATGATACAAACAACGAGCCTTTTTAAACGTTTTTACGATATCATGCATGCATTACATAATTTTCGAGATAAGAATTGAAATTTGAATACCAAAGGAGACTAAATATCCTTTAATCTTTTATATACGTGGCAGAAACAAAATTTGAGTCTGATCCGAATTGTATTAATTACTTCGATATCCAATGGTGATGATCAACGAACGAGGGATTAGGATGACATGTAAGCAAGAAAAGAGTGGGAACCACAATAAGTGTGGCATGATATGATGACACGTCAACCTTGTCGATAGGACCCATGATCATCAACTGGATAATGTGCATGTTACAGGACAAAACCGTATCGACGTTACAATCAAAATGAGTGGCTAAAAGAGTAAAAGATAGGAGCTACAACATTATGATAGTATGTTTTATCTTCGTGTTTTTTTTTCTGCCAAACAAGAAAACTAATATCGATGAGACTGCCACATATTCAATTTAAAACCATTCACATCAATATCGATCATTTATCTTCGAAAATGAAAACGAAAGAAATGCATAACTTTTTTTGCTAGAACTCTTCGAAAATGATCTTTGATTTGTGCGTGATGGTTTTGACAAATGTCTTTACTTAAGCAATCTTAGCCAAAAACACATTTGATAACTGATTCGGGAAATATAAAATATTGATCTACTATTCTGATGTACCATTTTCAGCTGTATTTGCTCGTGGCGTCTAATTTTGGTATTATAGAAGAACAAATACCGACCTTTCTTAGTAAAGGAAAGATAGAAAATTGATGATATTTTATAATACGAATCTTACATTGATTGATTTGGTCGGTCCATTGTAATCTATTAGAATAGTAACAAGTTTTTCGTTGGACGATTATGGGCCCGATTGTTAAATATGGGCCTACTAATAAAGAAAAGTCACTAATGACCACCGAATCTAGTCTCGTCTATTAAATTTATAGACTACTAGATAGATAGTAGATACAGTATTTAGTTTTGCTTTTATCTTGGATTAGGATGTTGCCGAGCTGGATTAGATCAAATCACAAACTTCAATTTACACTTCATTATTGAATTACTATGTTATAGTCAAGTAGCAGTGTCTCAACTTGCTGAAGATTCTGAATTTATATGATAAGATCAATGATTCAATGTCTTTTACCTTGCTAAAAAATGATGTACTAAAATGCGAGTAACTAAAGATATTACATATCTTCTTTTGGTTTAAACTTTTAATATCATATATATGTTAGTACACTAATAGACTAGCTCAAGAAACAACCCATGAGGGCAAGTATCATGGTTGAGACAGAAGACACAAATGGGCACTTTGATTTGACCAACCAGTAGGAGTTGCACATTCATACATACGTATGTACGTATACAAAAATCGTCTTCTCCGGTTAAGTGAGCACTGTAATGCTACACCGGCCTTCTAAGGAAACTTTGATTCTTCAGCTTTTCCATGATCCGATAAGAGTAGAGACCTTTTTCTACAACTATTATGACACCACTTGCTCGTCTACCAATTAACCAGGAAGGAGAAGATGATTAGGACTTGTGTCGCTTCAAGCGAATCCACCAAATGATGAAGTTTATGATCGAATTTAGTGGAGGAGATAGATTTAACTCACTGAGTATGAAGTTTGAGAGGTTGGATTCTGATGGTTTGGGCTTGGCCTCTTCAATCACGATCTCAGTTGAAGAGTCGCTTGAGAATCCTAGCTTCTGCATTATTTCTCTAATCTCTTCCCGTTTGTCAGATACAGATAACCAATCTAGAAATTG